GGGGGGGGGGGGGCAGGGCCCGGGGCCTCCTGGCCTCCTCCTCCGTCAGCCGGCCGCGCTGGTCTGAGGAGGAGGCTTCCTGGAGGAGTGCCGGGTTGCAACATTAGCCAGAAAAAAAGCGAAAAAGAGGCTCCGAATGACCGAACAGAGGGGGGAGGCAGCAGCTGAGTCCACCTGTAGGACACAGACGCAAAGACGAAAGACAAAGATGAAAAAGCATAAAGCTTAATCTTGATTTTATCATGCTAACGTCTCGGCCCGGTCTTAATAGCATTCATGGAAAATCTCACACAAAATTGTCAGTGAGCTTTACTGACTCCAACTCGCCACCGTTGACTGTCATTTCAGTTTTTTGTTGAAAACTTTTTTTCTTTTTTTAAAGTTTTATCTCGGTTTCAGCTAGACTGAATGTGCAGTTTCTGGCAGGAAGTGGAAACGCGTTCAGAAAAAAGAAAAAGAGCCTGGATTCGAAGCACCAGATGAGTGCGTCATAACCCAAAAGGAATAATACTTCTTGGTATTTTTAGCCATTATTGAAATCCAAAATTTGACAATAAGAGATTTACCAGTTCCATCACAGCCGGACGGTTTAGTTGGTCCTTGATTCAGTCTGGAAAATATGCCATGAACTGCAAAAGCTGTTGTTTTTTCAAATCTATTAATGGATGAAGATGAAAAAAGTCTGTGTGTTTTGTATTTTTCGAGACCAATAGTTGTGAAATAACACTTCTAGTGGACGTGCGATGAGGCAAAAGTTGAGTGACGAGTAAAAACAGAGTTTCTGACTTTTTTTGGACCATAAAGCTCTAGATGGCAGAACCCCAGGGCACAAAGCGGCTATTTCGAAAGGCCCCACAACCACATTACCAAAGACGCACAACAGGCCGATCTGATGGAAGATTCAAGTCACTGCGAGTTAGTTTTTTTCGTTTCACACCGAAGTGAGCTGCCACACAAACGTCTCCCAGAAGAATTCACTGAAAGCATCCCCGATAAGCGCTTCCCCACCCCGGCGGGACGGGGACGGTTCCTTAAACCGGTCCGGCTCTTTAGACTGACCGTAGTGACCGCGGCGTGTCTGTGTCGCAGGTAAGGAGAGCCAGCGGCCCGTGGCCCACGAGTGTCTGGGGGAGGTGCTGCGGGTTCTGCGGCAGGTCATCAACACCTACCCGCTGCTCAACACCGTGGAGATCCTCACCGCCGCCGGCAAGCTCATCTCCAAAGTTAAAGGTGGGTCAAGCCAAAGAGCATCTCCTATCCCAACTCTTCCCCATACCTCTGGACCCCTCTACTCCTCTTTCTGTACTTTCCCTCTATCGCTTATCTCTCTACTGATTCTGACTGGGGATTTTCCTCTACAGAACTTATTGTCTTATTGATAACTGTAACATTGTGTTTACTTTGTAAGTCGCTTTGGATAAGAGCTTCTGCTAAAAGCATAAACATAAATGGTGAACTAAAAGCAAATGGAGGTGTTTTAAAATCCCTGACCCTAAACACATGGATGCTTTTTCAGGTTTCCACTATGAGGCTTGCAACGAAGCCGATAAGAAGGACTTCGAGAAGGCCATTGAAACCATCGCAGTGGCGTTTAGCAGCAAGTGAGTAGCCGCCTCGCTTCACGACACGTCTGGGTTCTCGGAGAGCGTTCAGGTGGCTTTGTGCTTTGTGCGTAACGAGGACCCAGAAAGCCGCCCGTCGTTGGGAATGAGAGAGAAGTGCACGATGGTGACACATTTGCATGAGACCTAGCCGAAAACAGGAAGTGGGTTTTAAGCTACCGACAAAAAAAAAAAAGAAACCAAAGCTCGACTACGCAGTTGACTACCTGACTGCTGGATTAGGCAGATTGAACAGACTGAAAAGATCACCGTGGGAACGCTCAGTCCGTTCGAGACAAAACCCAAAAGAATTAAAATATTAACGACAAACGAGACGTAAAGTCCAGAAAGGGCATACAATGGTTCAGTTTGGCCGCTTCTGTGGTTGAATGAGTTGTTTGTGTCGGCCGCAGTTTATCACTCCTATCTGAGCTGTTTCAGGGTGTGCACAACATGGAGGAAGTGAGCTGGCAGAGACAGTTGAAATCTGCCTGACGGGTCTGTTTCCTCATTCTCTCCCCCGCTCTTCCTCTGGCTGACCTGGGTCCTATCGTGCGCAGGCAGCATGGACAGTCCTATATGTCCACTAAACGTCAGCCCAACAAAAAGAGACGTTCACATAGATGAGAAAAGGGGGGATGTTTCCACATCTGATCGAGGGCTAAAAGTCGCCCTGGTTGCTACCTGTCGCAGTTTCCCACGCGGCTCGAACCTCTTCCCTTTTCTCACCAGTTCCTTTTAAAAACTGATTTTTATTTTTTTCAGTTCGGTAGCCTCACCACATGTGTTTTTCCCCTCCAGCGTGTCTGAACTGCTGATGGGAGAGGTGGACAGCAGCACTCTGCTCTCCCTGCTGCCCACTGAGAAGAGCAGGGTGAGGAAACACTTAGGAAATTAGGAAAAGTAACCTTTTTCAGATCCATGGTTCCACCGACATTTGGTGTTGATGGGGTGGGGGGGGGGGGGGGATCCCTTTGATTCCGACGGGGTTCGATGTCGGTTTTGAGTCCTCTTTTGCTCTTTCTTGGCAGTCCATGGAGAACCTGTACGCTGCGTCTGGCCAGGGGGCAGAGGGGGGGCACTTCAGGAGCGACCTGCAGGACATGGGTAAAGAAGAAGGGGCTCCATCTCTAAAGCTTGTTTTCAAACTGTGTGTGCCTCTGTCCTCCAGGCAGATCTCCCTCACTGGATTTGAATGCTAAATGAAATATTTGTACATCATTGTTCTGGTATCTGTTGACGATAAACCCCAGTTATGTAACCCCCAGCATGTAGCGACTTAAAAGGCAGTTCAGACGTATATTGTTTGTCCCAAGAAGCCACCATGAGGTGTCCTGCCGATTTGGTTATCAGAATAACACGTCAGATCTTAATCTCCTCAAACAAAAACACTTCATCCAGTTTTATTTTCCCTGCACCTTCGACTTGCTCCGTTTGCTTCTCTCAGAGCCACAATCTGACCCTTTACAAAACGTAGAGAGGCCCTCTTTTTCGCGGCTGAAAAAGAGGGCCTTCGGCTCGTGTCCAATAACTCACGGCGACGGCGTTTGGCTGCTCTGCTGCCTTCTCCATCACGGCCCCGACCACGGAGGTGGTGAGGGGCAGCTGAGGCTCAGCAGAGACGCGGCCGTTGCCAAAAATCGGGCCTAAATAAACCTGACAGCGTCATCCCGCTCACCTCCCACAAAGCGTCAACAGAAAACAGTTTGTGGCCATAGCAACCGTCGGTGTGTGTGTGTGTCCGTGCGCAGGCCGGGTGGAGGAGGTGGATGTGATCCTGCAGCACAGTGAGGGGGGGGTGGACTCGGCCCTGCTCTACGCCAAGACCATTTCCAAGTACATGAAGGACCTGATGAGCTACGTGGAGAAGAGGACTTCGCTGGGTGAGTGAAAGGCAGCAGGAGTCTGAATGCAGGCAGAAAAAAAAAGAAGTGCAAAATCGGACCTCCAGCACTGCTTTTGACGGAGGTCGGTACCGGAATGCTAACAGGCTTCTCCACCCGTTCCACAGAGGCGGAGTTCTCCAAAGGCCTCCAGAGACTCTATCAGTCCTGCAAGCACAGCATCACACACGTAAAAGCTCAACTCCGCCGGCTCAGAAGAGTAAACCACTCAAATCAAAGCTATGACACTGACCTGATGCTTTCCCCCCCCCCCCCACCCCGTCCCCCCTTCAGCCCCACATGCCGCTCTTCTCCATCTACTCCCTGGCGCTGGAGCAGGACCAGGAGCAGAGCGTGGGGCTCCAGCAGGCCAACACCACCCTCCACAACCAGACCTTCATCCAGGTCAGTAAGAGCCTGACCCCCACCCAAGCCACCTTGCTGTTCTGAACTCCACCTGTAACCTCCGCCTCCTCCTCCCTCTGCCTCCCCCCTCCGCCAGCCTCTGATACAGCGCAAGCAGGAGCACGAGAAGAGGAGGAAGGAGATTAAGGAGCACTGGATCCGAGCCAAGAGGAAACTGGTACCACCTCATTCACATTTTTTTCTCTTCCACCCTTTTCTAAAAAAAAACAAATAGATAAATAAAGTCTGCCTTTGGGGCATTTTCTGTCTTTGTAGATGGAGTGTGAGGCCAACCTGCGGAAGGCGAAGCAGGGCTACACGGCTCGCTGCGAGGAGTACGAGAAGGCCAAAACGGCGGCTTGTCGGGCCGAGGAGGAGGGAGGGGGATCCACCGCCAAGTCCGTGGAGAAGAAGAAACGGCTGGAGGAGGAGGCCCGGAATAAGGTTCTGATGGACGCCGTAGTCCCAGCCGCGTTGCCCCGCCCCTTTCAGGCCCTTCGGCCCTTCTGTGGAAGACGACAGCCACCCCAAAACCCTGATCCACGCTAATGAGAGCTATATGTTGGGGGGTAGTAAAAGCCGGGTAGTAAAGGGGGCGTGTCTGTGTGTGCAGGCGGACGAGGCGGAGGCCACCTACCGCACCTGCATAGCGGACGCCACCACCCAGCAGCTGGAGCTGGAGCACACAAAGGTCACCGTCCTGCGGCAGCTGCAGGACGTCATCAAGCAGAGCGACCAGACCCTCCGCTCGGTCAGAACCCGCCTTCCCCCTCCCCTCGACGTCCGGCTCAGCGCCGCCCCTTTAACCGGCTCCCGTCCCCCTTTCCAGGCCACCATCTCCTACTATCAGCTCATGCACATGCAGACGGTGGCCCTGCCCGTGCACTACCAGACGCTGTGCGAGAGCAGCAAGTTGTACGACCCCGGCCAGCAGTACGCCGCCCACGTGCGCGACCTGCAGCTGCCCGGCCAGCCCAACGTCCACTACGCGTTCGAGGCCTTCTGCCCCTCCGCCTCCTCAGCACAGTAAGGCCTCCGTCCAGCCTCAGCTCAAGGTTTCCTAAAAAAAAAAGTTAGAATCTGGCTCTTTTTACCTTTCCAACAAAGCCAAGCGTGTCATTTTTTCCCCAGACTCTGCACAGAGAAGGGCATTAGCTTCACATTTAGTGAAAAAACAAAGAGAATTGTAATCTACACAACTTGAGTGATTCTGATGGAGGACAGAAGTCTAAAGCTGTGCGTTGTGTGTGTGTTTTTGCCGTCTTGCAGCCACGGTCACAGGCCGAGAAACGACAGCTTCAACACGAGCGACTCACAGACCAGTCAGACGGAGGGGCCGGCCAGCAGCGTGGATTCGGGCGTCGCAGACTCGGAGGCTCAACGCAAGAGTAAGTCTTGTGTGACCGCCTGCTGCCCGCCGCGGGCCCCGGAGAGGCGGACTTCGTTCTCACATTCCGCCGTTTCTGCCTCGTTCCCAGGACAGGGCCACAAGTCGTGGGGGTCGACGGTGAGCGCCGACAGCGTCGGGGGAGACGGGGGTCCGGACTCCCCCACAACCAGCAACAGTGAGTCTGGACACTGATGCGTCCTCCACAGCAGATCCCAACGTCTGATTTAAAAACGACACATTGCGTCTGCTTTTTCCTGGCCGTAAAGGAGACCTTTTTTTATTTAATTTCAGGTGACATTTCTAAAATCGCTCGCACGTCATCTACTGCGACGATGTCGTCTGACGAGGATCCAGATGAGAAGGACGGAAACGTGGGCTCTTTTGAAACTCCAGGTCAGTGGTCCAGGTTTTTCCTCTCCCGGTGGGGACCGCTACCGGTCCCTAAAGTGCCCGTGTTTCCCCGCGCAGACATCAACGGCATGGAGCCGGACGTGGTGGTCTCCACCAGGCCTTTCCGGAACATCGGCCTGTCCAAGGCGGCCCAGACGCATCGCCTGAGGAAGCTGCGCACCCCCTCCAAGTGCCGCGAATGCGACAGCTACGTTTACTTCCAGGGAGCCGAGTGCGAGGAGGTGAGCCGTCGCTTCTCCGTCCTGCGTCCGGGAATCTGAGGGGCCGAATATGGGATAAAAACATCAAGAAAAATTTATTCGGAAGTTCTTATCTGTAATTGTATCAGTCAGATTTCAGCCTTTCTTTCCAGCTTAGTCACAAATATTGTTTGATTCAGGTTTTTACAAAAAAAAAAAAAAAAAACTCAGGCATCTATCAAACTCTCCACTGACTGCGAAAATATGGAATTACGGTACTTTTTAAAAAAAATTATAAAGAACTAATCAGAATCATCCTTTCTGACTGTATCTCAATACAATTCAATAAAATCTTATTTATATAGTGCCACATCACAACAACAGTTATCTCACAGCGCTTTCCAAACAGAGCAGGTCAGACCTTACTCTGAAGTTATTTACAGAAACCCAACAATTCCCACTGTAATATCTGTAGTTCAGGCTCTATTCTCACCGCCCTGTTTGTTGCTCAGCGTCTGTATAACAAACGGAGCTCAGCTCAGACTCATGATGCCCTGTCCTCGCCTGAATGGGAAGCTGTTCCGGGTTACGCTCACCCCCTCTGCCCCCCCCTCCAGTGTTTCCTGGCCTGTCACAAGCGCTGTCTGGAGACTCTGGCCATCCAGTGCGGCCACAAGAAGCTGCAGGGCCGCCTGCAGCTGTTCGGCCGGGACTTCACTCAGGTGGCCAGCTGCGCCAGCGACGGCATCCCCTTCATCATCACCAAGTGCATCTCCGAGATCGAGAGGCGCGCGCTCAAAATGAAGGTGAGGAGGCGCGGGGCCCTTCGCGTCGCGCCTAAAGCGCAGCGGAGGGCTCGGATGTGAACCTCTGCCCCCCCCCTGCAGGGAATCTACCGAGTCAATGGAGTGAAGACTCGAGTGGAGAAGCTCTGCCAGGCGTTTGAAAACGGCAAGGAGCTGGTGGAGCTGTCCCAGTGTTCCCCGCACGACATCAGCAACGTCCTCAAGCTGTACCTCCGACAGGTAGGGACCCCTGGTCATTAGGGGACCCCCCCCCAGTGGTCATTAGGACTCCTGAAAGAAGAAACTTATTCTGAGGTTTTTCTGACTTTTTTCTTTGCGTTAGCGATTCATCCCGATTTACCACCAAACGCCTTTTCACCTCTTAAACTTAAAACTTATTGAGTAGATGTGTATTGGATGTGGTGCATGTTTTAATGCAGTAAAAATTTGGGCAAATACGTTTGGAGTTGCATTAAATAAAATGCCCTTTTCAAATATTTAAATGTAAAATTCAGTGGGTTTTTTTTTTTGTTAGTATGCACAAAGTGAATGTTCTGACAGCATTATCACCCATTTGGAAACAACATTAATTGTCTTTGATTCAAAACCCTTTATTGTGACTTTAATTATTTCATTTATTTTACCAAGAATTCTAGCTGGCAGATGGTTGCATAATTTCCATTTTCTGCGGTCGAAAACAACTTTTCTCTGTTTTTATTTGATCAAGTTCAGCCTTTCTAACAGCCCCTCCTGCTTTCCACACCTCCAGCTGCCAGAGCCCATCATGCCCTTCCACCTTTACAACAGGCTGATGGGTTTGGCCAAGGAAAGCCTGCAGAATGAGGCCGAGACCCCCGAGGGGGAGGAGCCGGGGGGCCCTAACCCGCTGGTGAGCAGGGGCCACGAGCTGGTGGACCTGGGCTCCGAAACGGAGCCGGAAATCCTGGTTCTGGTGAACGGCGTGAAGGGGCTCCTGCAGGAGCTGCCCAAGGCCAACATGGCCACGCTGCGCTACATCGTTCGCCACCTACGGAGGTCAGCAGGGTTTTGCAGGATGAGGGGAAATGGGGGGCGGGGGGGGGGACAGGTCGGCCCTTTTTCAGGCGGTCTGGTGTTACCGCTCTTCCTTTTCTTCTCGCCCCAGGATCGCAGAGCTGGAAGAAGATAACAAAATGAGCCCCAGTAACCTGGGGATCGTGTTTGGGCCCTCCCTCATGCGGCCCCGCCCCACCGGGGCCACCATATCGCTGTCCTCCCTGGTGGACTACCCTCACCAGGCCCGCGTGGTGGAGGCCCTCATAGTCTTCTATTCCTCCATCTTCCAGTCCAAAAGCTCCCAGTCCAACAAAGGCTCCCGGCCTGCCTCCACCTCCACTCAGCAGGTAGGACTCGGGCGGAAAAAAAACGTGGGCGGTGCTCTGACGGGAAGTTTGAATCTTTAATGTGGAATTTGAAAACGGTGCATTTGTTCTGTGTCATCTGAAGACAAACGACAAATGTCTATATTTGTGTGATTGTTTTTTTAATCCCTTGTTGGATCTGAATGGCATTTATGTATTATTGTCTACTTTTTTATTTGAATATATGTCCTGTATCATGAGGGGGGGGCTCAGGCCAAAACATTGGCCCCTTATTTACTTGGCACCTCTTCTTTAGGAAAATGCTGTATGCAGCAAGACGGAGAGCTCTGCAGATGGAGAAGACGACGGCAGCAAAGAGGAGCAGAACAAAATGGAGGAAGGATGTGGTAAGTTTTCAAAATATACCGCTGGGAAGAAGAAAAAAAAAAACGTCAAATAAACGCTTAAAAGCCCTTCTTTTTAACCTCCATTCAGGAAGTTCTTTGGGGTCTCTGGGCTCCAGCGAGCAGCTCCCAGACTCGGACTCGGAGCCGGACGACGGCGTCCAGAAGAGCCTGAGGAAGCAGGAGAGCGAGGCCAGCGTGGACGAGGACCGGCTGAGCTACAGGGACAGCCTGGACCTGTCCGCCCACACCGACCCCGAGCACGACCCGGACCAGGATGCCGAGCCCCCGGAGGGGGGAGGGGAGCCCTCGGGGGAGCCCCCCGCGCTGCCTGACGTCGGGCCCCCGGACTGCGAGGAGGCGGCCGCAGAGGGGCGGGGTCTGATGGCCTCGCTGGCTGAGCTCAACGTGAACCAGTCCAACAACAACCAGCCCTGCTCGCCCATCCTGACGCTGGGGGGGCTCCCCCTGGCACGCCCCCGCGGGGGGAAGTTGCCCCTGACCAGGAACCGCGACAGCAAGCCCGAGTTTGTCTGAAGTTAGAACCAAAATCCCTGCGGATGAGATGGAGTCGAAAGGGAAGGTTCAATAGGAGGGGGTGGGGGGGCTTCAAATGTCTAGATTGGGTTTTTAAAATGTGTGTAGTTGCTTGTGGCTGTGATCTATCCTGGTACTGAAACCACTGCAAGCGTCCTCTTTCATACTGTTAATCAATCCTGTCATTTCAAGAGGTTTGACTTTAATTTTACGTGTATTTTAGAGTCAGTTGTGTTTTTTTATGTTTTCCTCTTTTATCTCTGTGCTTGAGAAAAAGCAGTCACATTTGAATGTGTGCGCTACGCAAACTTTCCAAGCAGGTTTGTTCCCTCCATATGGATGTTGGAAATATTTGAATAAAAATTCTATTTTAAAATGGTACTTTTGTTATACTCGCCACATTTTTTGCATTTTATGGATGGGGCTGTAGAAGAAAAAAAAAGCGTAGCGTCTGAGCAGGAAGAAAAAAAAACGTTACATCCTGTACAACGGGGTTGTCCAGTATCTGTTTTGAGAGCAGGCAAAAGAAGAAGCACCAACTACGGTCTGTGCTGAGGCACAGAGAGCAAAGCGGCCCGAAAGCAGCCACGGCATGCCTTTCAGGAAGAAAAAGAAGGTAAGCACCAACAACTGATCCATACTGTGATGTAGGTTTAGGAACAGGCTGTCCACGGTTAAATGTCATTTTGCTCAACTTAAACTGAACCGAGTGGAAATGTGTGAATAAGTAAAGAGATTTCCATTGAATTATGACTTTATTTTACAAAATTAGAAATTACAAGAAAAATTCAGCTCAATAAGTAAAGGAGGTGGATAGCTCGCAGACGAGGAGAAATCCATGATGCCAAGTTTCTGTCAAAGATCCTGAGGAACAACAGGGACATACAATTATTAAGCTAGGATGTAAGAGGTTAATATCATTTGGTTTCCACTTTTAAATATGCAGTTGTGGCTCAGAGTTTGAGCGAACCGATTTAATAAAAGGCACTTCCAAACTGAGATAGTTTGTGGTGTTCAAAACGAGGTTGGCTGGAAACGGTGTGCCGGTTTACCTTTCTGTCACTGGACCAGCCTGTATGTGATGTACCTTCCAGCCGTTTCACTGGGTCTGATGATTTTCACCACCTGGGGAAGTGTGTACAAAGGACCTCTTATTTCTGAGAGGTGTGGTTTACACAAACAAATATACACTCAAACTAGATGGTTTTCCAGTTGTAAATGTCTTCCATTATAGAGCCAATAAATGGTTTCCACAAACAAATTTATACGAAAGACAAGCCGTTTCCTTGTTTTGGAATTGAGTCTCTCTGTCTCCCAATGCTTTTGGGGAAACGCTTTAGGTAAAAATGACTGCTATTTCCTCATTGCAATCATGCACAGTACCTGTCCTCTTTTCAAGCCAAAGTATCGAGCCACGGGGTCTCCAGCCTGAATCCTCGGCAGCTGACTTTCTTTTAATTTACTGAGGTTAAAATGTTAAGGATAACAGAAGCACATATGTAAAATATGATGCTCAAATCTCAGCTTAATTAACATTTATGTAAAATAACATTGCATGAACACAAGGATACTATCTTGCCAGAAGTTCAGTAACTTCCTCTTTCGTCATGACAATGTGCTCCGGTACAAGCTGAAATTCAGGAGAAAAAGGTGTTAAAAGCAGAACTTCGAGTGCCTTCTGGGAATTCATTGTAAAACAAAGAACACCATATTTTGTTTACCTCGTGCTCTGTGATATTTATGAGCAGCTCCTGTTGTAGAAACTGTTCCAAAATGTACTTTGGTGCCATGTCCACCAGAGACTGTCAGACAGCATCCATTGTTACAGTTAATAAACAGAATCAAAGTGAAATAAAGACAAGTCCAACATTTTAAATCATTTACCTGTTTTGCTGAAGGTGTCATGCCCATCTGAACAACGATGATGGCTCGTGTGATGTTCTCCTCTTGCATCCTTTGGCAGTACATTTTAATCGTCTTTATCCCTACCTTGGGCTCCTCTGACGAATGAAAATACATATATTTTTCTTCCTTGCGTTTCAATGCAGGTCTGGCATTATTTTCATTAGGAACTCAACACAAAACACGAAACCCACCGGGAAAGAAAACGAACATCTGGTCAGTGGGGTCATCGTTGTGGGCCACCAGGACCGTGAGGTCCGTGCGTCTGGGACGACCTTCGCTGGGTTTGTCCCCAAACTGGCTCTTGAACTCGTCCAGAGTTTGGTCCAACTCATCCTGTGTCACCAGATAGCCTCTGTCGTGGCAGAGCTGTAGGCGTCAAAAATGAGCGTGAACAACCTGGAACTATGGGCTATACGGGCTGAGAACATAATAGACTTTGGGGTTAAAACACTCTGTGTCAACGTGACACGCGTGGGTTATAACGCACACGCAGGGCAAGCGGCTCTGGTTCCTGAACAGGTTCCCACCACATGTCTGTAACTGTACAAGCAGCCACTGTGCTGCATTTTTACAGCGATGACACACTTAGTTTGACAGATGCACAGCAAATAATATATATATATATATATATTCTCCGTTTTACGAATCGCTTCCTGGACTAACGACGGCTACGTGTGGAGCTAACATGCTAATATAGACAACAACGCATTCTGCCGCACCTGCATGATAGTTTTGCGGATCTTCCACAGCCGGTATGTTTCCTCTTCGTCATCCATGCCGTTTCAAATCACGTATGGGCTCAAATTAAGATCTGGAAGTTTGTCTTTTTAATATATATATACATATATAAATAAGTCCCTCTCGCTCTAGCGAAGAGTTCCAACAACAAACGCGACGCACGTTTTCTGACGCGGAATGATGACGTATAGGAAGCGCAATGGGTGGAGTTTAGTTTTTTAAAGCTGGTTTTAAAACTATTTTTATCATTAATACTGTAGCTGAGTGAACAGCCTGTTACATTATTTTTTGTAATTTTATAATTAAATTACTGAAATCAAAGTGAAATGATTTACAGAACCCCCCCCTCTCTCTGCCCCCCAGTTTCACAACACGCTGCGGGGCGGAGTCACGTGCTGCCACAATGAACAATCGGCCAAATATTCTATAAATTTCGCCTCCTCTGACAAAATGAGGCCGTTATATGTGATTTTGGCTGTTGGGGCCGTCGCAAGCAGCGGAGCTCTACTGGCGATGGTACTGTACTTTGTTTTGCCCACAACGGTAACGTACACCCACGATACTTGGCATGTGTTACGAATGCTGCTTAGGTTGGGACCTTATGTAACAGCTGTCTAACAAAGCTCTAACAGTTTTTGATTTTTCCATATAACTTCCTCATATGATGATGCTCCTTTGTCTGTTTTGGCTTCGAGGGAACACCCACTGGCTGGTTGTCTCTTCCCTTTATTATTCTGCCTTTTGGTGCACGATTATAAATAAATATTTACACAGGATGTGCGCGTAAGGTTATACAAATGTACAAAGTTTCATGGCGTGTGCGTGCGGCTCTGAAAGCCTCCATCTCTGACAGTGTGCCTGCAGGCATCAGCTGATAAGCTTATCATCCGCAAACAGCAGGGAGGTGCCATGCTTTTTAAGCAGCTCTTTAAACAGAAGGTTAAGCTTTTCTGCCACAGCTTCCATTTGAAGTTTTGATTATTTGCAGCATAGACTGTCTCTAAATAATTTGCAATAGTACATTGTATATTTTGTCAGAACTGTTTCATAACTCGCCTGTATTTATTCACATATATTAATATAGTCATTATTTTCAATTATTGGACTAGATCATCCCTTAAGATAGGTGTTTTTCCATCCATAGTTTTTGGTTAGTTTAAAAACAATAACAGCAACAACAAAACATTTATCCTGAATATGGTTCAAGTGGAAAATTTGAAAATGACTCAAAAAGCCTTTAGCGTTGTCTGAAAAACCTTGACTGGACTCCATGCATTCTTATGAAGATTATGTCAAAACTAAAAATGATTATTTAGTACAAGCTGATAGCAGCAAACAATGCGAGTCAGTCTTTTGTTATTTGAAAACAAATCACCGTGTTCTCTGATTAAAGTGTTGTGCAATGTTCATCCACTGAGCTCGCTTCTTTACCGGTTCACTGCCGGCCTGGAACACTAACTCCTTTGTTGTTGTTGTTTTGCGGATTATGATGATCTTGTCAAAGAAAAGAAACGTTTGGCTTTTTTCATATCAAGGTGAAAGTGCAAATGGGAAGTTAATCACATTACACAATGAGCGTACGTGTGTTCGCTCTTTGCCTGGGCCTCCTGGGTCCATTTTCCTGAGATTATGACAAAGCTGTGACCTGTGGACTGCGTCGTGTGCGTCTGTGAACTGGATTTACTGCCAGCAGCAGAGAGAGGCCTATTGGAGAATCACAGCCTATCAGTGAGGTTAACGACCACCTCCCCCCTTTATATGAGCGCTGACCAGCAGGAGCTCCTTTAGTTGTGGGCTTCAGCAGGGCGGCCGCTGCTGGGTTTGAAGATCCAGTTGTTTTCTGCTGTCAGAGGAGCTAACTGAGAGGCAGCCATGCGCCTGATAGGGTGCGCGGTGTTTCTCTCTGTGCTGCTGCCCGCTATGGTAAGAAGCAATGAGATTAGGGCCGGAAAAACTAGTTCATGTCGCAGAACCTGAACTTGAAGTTTTTTGTGCTTTTTTTAAACGTGTTTTTACATGATTTGTTGTGTCTATATTTATACTCATGTACTGTATGTCTGCTTAACCCTGTATCATGATTTAGGTAACTGGATTGGGATGTTTTTAGTAACTAAACATTTAATACTTAAGTACTAACTATTCTGTTCAAATTATTGAGGCATTTTTCTCTATTGTGGCGTGTTTATGCCGAAGGTCAAACATGTATGAATACTCGTGAACTGTCCTCCTTTTGTCTCAACAGTCTACTCCAACAGAGGACTGGCAGAGAGCCACATCTATCTATGAATTCAATGCTACAGACATTGATGGAAATGTGACTTCCCTTGAGAAATACAGGTAATTTCATCGCTTCTGTTGCCGTCTTTTGCCAAAGTGTCCAATAACTAGCCTGCTGACCCCCATCGCATTCTGCATCTGAGTGTGTGTGTGTGTCTCTTTTGTGATTTCAGAGGGGATGTTGTCATCATCACCAATGTTGCCTCTAGATGAGGCAAAACCCCAGTAAACTACTCTCAGTTTGCTCAGATGCACGCCAAGTACGCTGAGAGAGGTTTACGCATCCTCGGCTTCCCTTCCAACCAGTTTGGGAATCAGGTGTGTTTGTCAGTGTTTGATTAGAGGCCCACGATAAGCAAGAGAAAGGGGAAAATCGTTTTAAAACAGTTTTAATCCGCACACCCTCAGCTGTTGTTGCAATTTGTTTGTCTTTTTCAAAATAAATATGTGCTATTCTGTGTTATTAAAAACATATGTGTTATTAAAACTTTGAACACAGACTTGATAACATTCCTGTTGGCGTCGTTACACTTTTTGACATCTTAGACAGATATTTGCGTGCGTGTTTTATGTGATTGATTTATTGCATGATTTAGGCTGCGGTACTTTCAAAAGTGTTGAGCAGTTCTTTTTTTTCCATCTCTTGCTTTGAACTCCATAGGAGCCGGGCGATGAAACTCAGATCAAGCAGTTTGCGGAGTCGTACAACGCTCAGTTCGACCTGTTCAGCAAGATCGAGGTGAACGGCGACAACGCCCACCCTCTGTGGAAGTGGCTGAAAGAGCAGCCCCAGGGAAAGGGCACATTTGGAAAGTAAGCAGGGGAGAGATTATTATTTTAAATCTCTACACAGATTCATTTTATGCATAGAAACTAGTCTTGTAGAGCATTGGAAGGTTCTTAGGTTCTGCAGTCATTAAACGTGGATTGCAAATCCGGTCAATGATTGCTTGAGCAATAACATGTCTTTTTTTTCTCATTTCTGCAGTAGCATCAAGTGGAATTTCACCAAGGTAAATATTTATTTTCATTCACACGAGTAAGCTAACATAACGAAGGCTGAATACTACAGATTACCTTTTTTTTTTAAAACGCATACAAGTGATAGTTTAGTGGAGAGTAAGAAAAAAAGGCCTTTTGAAGTAAAATAGCACAAGCCATTTTTCTTGATTGTCATGTTCCGTGTTGTTAATCATTATTTCTCTGTTTCTCTAGTTTTTGATTAACAGAGAGGGTCAGGTGGTGAAGAGATACGGGCCCCTCGATGATCCAAGCGTGAGTCAAAAAATTCCCTTTTAATCACAAATGCTAGGAAGCAACATACTGAAGTGGGAGATAAATCCCGTATAGTGGGATTCATTTTTCATTTTCAAAGATCCGGTCAGAATATCCACAGATTTGTGCAAACAAGGCCAAATGTCAGACATTGTTCCTTCTTAAACATATCAGACACTAAGTGGTGTTCATCACATAAACTAAACTGACTCATTTTCATCTGATTGTTCAATATTTGTATCAATATTGTTGTCTCTTCACACAGTTTTGTTAGGATGGAAAAATATGCCAGTTTTAATTCCTGTTTCCTTTTATTTAGGTGGTGGAGAAGGATCTTCCCAAATACCTTTAAACACCTGAAAGATGCCAGATTCCCAGTTGATTTCCGATAAATGCTTACTCCATTCATGCTGTCCAGCCACGGCTTCTGATCCCACTTTTCACTCCCTGAGGACCAACAGATATAGCTTGAGTCCATCCCAGACCAGTGATGGTTCTGCTCGTAAACCCGCTTGGCGGACAGGGCAGACCTGATGAAAAGGGCGTGCAAACCTCCTGGGAGGATTTCAAAACATATATTCTTGCGGTTCTCTGGAGTAAAAGAGATAAGATCCTTCAACACAGCATAAAATCTTCAGCAGCTCTGAATTTTCCCATGTCTTAATAAAATGAGTGTTTATTTAAAATCATAGTTCTGTCTCTTGTTTTTATTGTAACTGTGATGTTGAGAATTCCTTACGTGTCAAAATGTGCCAACTGAGTTTTTATGCTCTTCATTTGATCTAAAGATGGGGGTTGATTAATTAATGTAAAAATGATATTAAAAAGAAAAAATATACAAGCATGAGGTTATAAGATCCCTAAAGATACTTTCAGACTGCAGATTATTTTGCAGAAGCCTAGATTTGTAGTTCTCAAAATTAAATGAGGACACAACAAGGGTTTAGTGTTTCCACATCTTTGAATATTTTGTTTGTTATACATTCATGTTTTTTCTGTACATTTAAGTTAAGGGTTGCAATTGTGCTAAAACCATTCCCTGTTTGTTTTTTAGGCGTGACCTATCAATAGCTTGACAAATGGACAGATTGAAAAGGGGAAAAGCAACTACCAAAACCATCTTTTATTTTCTTTTAAGTTGATTTTATAGGTTGAGAAGTCTCACAGTCATTTAGTGGCATTTAGGGTTCGGCCTTATCTCAGTTTTTTTTTATATAACCTTGCACATTACATGTAATTAGTCCTGGATGCTGTTGTGATTTTGCAATTATCTATAAGATTCAAAATGTATATGTCCTGTTAAGTAAGCACTTTCACAAACTTACTGTAAAAGATGACAAAAAAACATGAAGAGTCCAAACAAAAAAAATACAAGGGGGGGAAAAACAAGCAGGGCGAGCTGTGGGCTGCAGTTCCCCCGGCTGCCTGCAGGTGGAGCTGCAGCCCCCGTAGTGAGCTGAAACCGGGCTCTGAGCGGCGGCTGGCAGCCAGTGCAGCCGCGCTGGGAGGAGCGGGGAGCAGCGGGAGGAGAGGCTGAGAGCCACCGCCGACCGAGGACGCACCGCACTGATGAGGGACCCGGTCCGGATAACCGTCTCACGTTCGTCCGTCTGAGCCCCGTGACACGTCCCACAGCGCGCCCCTCGCCCCCCGCAGCGTCGCGGAGGGTCTCTGGATCGGAGGACTTTTGTTTTTTTTCCCCTCCGGGAGGCTGAATGGAGGCTGCAGCCGAGGGAGCGGCGGGGCTGTCGGAGGCCGGGGAAGGGAGCCCGCTGTCCGCCGCCGCAGCATCCGATGATGCGGACACGGTCGTGGGGGTCAGCTACGGGATGGACACCGCGGACATGGGTAACTGGCCGTACACCTGTGTAACCGGGCGGACATTTCACGGTCATTTATTGTTTTTCCCTCTCACCCACCGCTACCCGCGTCCCGTTTTTTTCTCCCGCTGTGACCAGAAAGTCCCGACTCATCTCTGCTAGCAAGGAGTCGGTAAGCTAGCTGGTAGCTAACTAACGGATGAGGGGAGCAGGTGAAGTTGTGCACGGCCACACACGCAAGGCGTGTAACCGTGTGGCGTGTAGTGGACACGTATGTAGGAACTGCCCCGACTCGGGGGAAACGACCCGAATCACGGAGGCAGCTGACATCCGTGCAGGTATCCGGAGACAAGATGTAGCCGATAAAAGGACCAGTTAGCTGGTCGGTTAATAAGGACCATCAGGGGTGTAGCTAATATATCCGATAACCTCTGACTGATTTTCTTACGTGCCTCCTAGCTTTTGGGAGCCTTTGTTATCACACGTCAAGCATTAAACACATATTTGTAATATATGTATTTGTTTTGAATTCTTCTCAGGTCATTTGTTGTAGTAAACATGACATTTTTCCTTTACAATGGCCATTTGTCACCCTGACATACGCCGAACAGTTAACCAGGCTTCATGCTCTGTTATGCATCTCTTATTAAGCTTTATGCAGTCACCTCTGTTTATTTGGACATGTTTTATTCTGTTCTGTCTTTACATTATGTTTTTCACACACAGAAAAAGACTCATTGGATGTTGAATTGATGATTTTAGCTGGTTGACTTGGAATTTATTGTCTGGAATCTCCAAGTGGCATATTTTCTTTTAGTATTATTATCAAAATGTTAGCTTTTATTTTAGGGGATTTGTTCCTAAAAACGAACCATTAGCCCCTCTCAAATCGTGCCCATGCCCTGCTCATCACTGTCATGCATGTATTCTTGTGTCATCCCTGGGATTTAAATCATATTGATGTAAATCGTAATCGTGTAGAGGGAAGTTTGTGGACTTAATTTACTTACCTGTTTGCTTTGCTGTTGAATTAAGCTAGTTGAACAAGTTTGTTTAGTGACAGATGATGTTATTATTAATTAAGTTTGATGAAGGGTGTTAATATTTGCTTTAATTATCAACAATAGCACATTGAGAGTTGCCTCCTGTCTGGCCAAGTGTTGGCTGTAAGCATACAGATGTTATTCATACGCTGATAATAAGCCTAGAGTTTGAACAGAAATAGATTTTTCACTTTACGCTGATGTAAATATGAAATTCCAGATGAGCCATGCTTTGTTTGATGTTGTTGATTTTAAAGCGTGTAGGAGAAGGTGCACGTGTGTGTGTGTGTGTGCGTGAGTGGAACACGGCCCTTGGCTCTGTGTTCAGCTTCAGAGTCAAACTGCCATCCGTCATGATGCGTTCACTGTTATGTTAACCGTACATCACAGCGTGGGGATTTTCACTGTCACCGGAAAGTGCTGACTTTCTGAGAAACTCAGCGCCTCTCTACTGAACAGGCTCATAAATCAAGATGACAAATTGGTTTGTTACCGTTACGGTGTCAGACGGTGGGGAACAGAACACCGGGTACCTTCGGCTGCTCGTGGTTCCTTTTTTACAGCCTCTGTTGGCCCGTTTGCCTCGATAAACTTGGGTAATTTCACTCTGGTGAGCTTCTCAGTTTTTGTTTTATCACATGTGCTGGGAAAGACGTGCTGTGAATGGATGAATGGTGCCAAGCATACATTACTGAGTGGCGTTTTTTTCCTTTGAATTTATTTAATGGAAGGCAAAAGTGTGGTACGGTTCAGTTTAGATTAGAACGGATAACCTTGTGTTTCTTTGTGGTGCTGTAGGGGACTAAAGTCTCTTAGGAAAACTTCTGCATAGATGATGGTCATTTCTGCTCTTTTCTTCTCATCATGGAGTCTCAGTTGCATGCGGATTCCTGCTAAAACAGCATGTAACAGGACGGCTTGTATGAGCTCCGCTCAGCTCCTGGTAAGGTTTTCTTTTTACATATACTTGTTTAGAGTATTGATCTCCATATCAGTCAGGATCTTTATCTAATCTCTGTATCTTTGGCAGGGCATCTGCTTTGGCTTGGAATGAGATAAAGTACGAGGAGTTGTGAAGGGGGAAAAATTGATTCTGACATTTAAAGCAGTGATATAATGGTGAAGAGCTCAGTGATGCACGTAGTCAGTGTCAAAGAGCAATGAAGTTTTAATCCCTAAATGTTTGAATATTATTATATTATTATTCAGTGGAAACGTATCCGCTCAGTTGACTGTTTTCTGTGAAAAAACTTTTTTAAAATAGCTATCCAGTTTAAACGAAGATTCTCTGAACCTGTGAATGATGATCGGGAATGTAGCCGACTCGTTTCACTGTCAGTCTGTGCGCCCTTTCATTCGCTGAGGAAGTGTGCCAAAGGCAGACGACTCCTGTTGGAAACGTCCTAGTGAATGAGGCTGAACGGCAGCGGGTCTGGCTTTAGATTTCCCCAGAAGAGGTCTGAGCTCAGTGTGAGCGTTTGGTTTGCGTCAGATCCTGTGAACGCGTGTGGGTGTCACAGCTGGCTGGGAAATAGCTGGCTGAGCATTCGTGCCCTCTTGTAATTTGTCCCTATTGTCTGGAGCCATCATGACAGCATTAATCTCACTTATCCCACCCCCCCTGACCCCCCTACACTTGAGTGGACCTCCTCTCTGTGTCAGCTTTGGAGGCAGCCTCCCACTCCTCTCCAGGCTCCTCAGTGAGCTGGAGCTCATCGACCTTCTCCTCAGTGAGTGGTTCCCTCAGCCTGTGCTGCCCCCCCCTCCCAACCCCCCCCCCCCCGCTTTTCACTGCTCTCCTCTTCTGGCACAAGCTGTCAGAACTGCTGACGGAAGCACAAAGGGCAGGCCGCCTCCTGTGGAATCCACCATCCATCTGCCTCTTCCCTTTTCCCTCAGACCTTCAGTCTGTGTCCCCCCCACACACAAACACACACACACATGCCCACGCCGCAGCATCTCCTACGTTTGAGTCCATGTGGCCCCCACCAGCCCCTGCCTGTGTGATGTCAGGAGCCCTGATGTGCCAGGATGACGCGTTTTTACGTCCTGCCAGACCGAGGGGCTGTAAGAGGCTGGAGAAATAAAGCAAAGGCCTGCTCTTTTCAGTTTAAAAAGCCGCGTGCCCACGGTGAAGATGGCGTTTATTTCAAGCTGCACCTGGAGCAGAAGACCAGCCGCAGAGGAGCACAAAGCTCCAGCCGTTTCTATGCCTCCCACACAGAATTAGTATCATTTTCTGGCAATAAAGGCAAAGAGGAGCGCCCGTCAGGCTCGGCGCTTCGGTCTTAACTCAGCCAGAGGATTTTGAGTAAAATCTAGTCAAATTGAAACATCATCATCCCGAATTTTCCCTGTATTCTCAAACCAATTTCATGAGTACCAAACGTATGTAATAGAGCTAAGATGGTTACTTTATTCATCGATAGCAGACTTGAACTGAGACTTTCTGGACCACGCTTTAAAGTCCTTTAGAAAAGAACAGACTCCAGCTATTTGAGTATGAAAATTCTCCCTTTGTCTTCACATTTAACCAGAATTTGCAGCAGCATTTCACATTTCGGGCAGCCTCATGGAGCTGTCATGTTTATTTTCTAGCTCAAAGACCAAACGCGCCACCGGCAATCTCTGAACGTCCGGACGAATCAGCGACAGACCTTTATCCTCACATTGCGCGTGGATTTTTGAATAAATCTGCAGACGGTTTGCAGCGTTGGCCTTCTCCAAGCGAGCGGCTCCCACAGGGTCGCAGAGTGGAGGAGGAAGATGCTCCGGGGGTTCATGTAAGTTTAATGGGATCTGAGCAGTGGGAGAATACATTCATTCAT